CACACACAGAGGCACATATGCACACATGCATAGACACACATCCATGTACACGTGTGTATGTGCCTGGAGATGCATGGACAAGTACGTGGTCACACATACATACATACATACATGCACATATACATACACACGGACAAGAGTGTGGACCTAACAATTCTCAGGAAAGCACTTCTTTGTGAGCAACTGTCCTCCGTGGGCTGGCATCTTGTAGTTTTCACTGGGCAGGGTTTTTTCCTGCAGCTCTCACAAGGGACTGGCGTGATAAACTGACCATGCACCCTGACTGCCAGCCTCTATGGCCTTTTGGACCCTTGGTACAATGGAGGTCATTCAGTCACACAGCCTGCAGCCTGCCCACCCTCCACACCCATCAGCCTCCGCTGACCCCAGGCACGGCCCCGCTGGCCTTGGGCCTATGTCCACAGGGACAGTGAAACACAGTCAGAGGTGGTGGTGGGCACCAGCCGGCATGGCTCCAACGACCCAGATGCTCTCCCAGCTGAGACCCCTGTGTGATTGTTGGCTCTCAGCAAAGAAATAAACAAACGGTGGCATCAAGTTTATTACGAGTATTCCCCAAATGCATAATTATCTTCAACTAGCACATTCTTGGTTAGTTGCCAGCCTCTGCCTTAGTGCCAGACCCCGGCCCGTCTTCCTGCATTCCTGGGCCCTGAGAGCACCAACACCAGGGGCGGGGGCTCAGCCAGATGTGTTGACAGCGCTACACCCCATGCCCCCGCGCCACCCTTCAGAGAAAGAGAGCCCCCTGAACCCAGTATGGATGCCCTCCAACTGCACAGACCTTGCCCTGTGGTGGCTGTTGTGCCAGCCTGTGGTCATTCCAGGACCACTAACTTGTTCTCTCTGCTGCGGACTGAACCCCACAAGAGAGTCCAGATGTACTTGGCCTAGTTATCAGAACAAGCCTGGCCGCAGGGGACACCACATGATCTGATGAAGCCACAGGGATGAAGCCCACTCCCTGTTCTCCATGTGCTTCTTGAAAACCATTCTGTGCATCCAAAGGAGCCCTCACCTGCACCCTGCAGGTCACCCAGCACTCCCTTCCATGGATGCAGGGACTCTGGTTTAGGGATGCAATGGTGTGGAGGATGGTGCTGTAGGACTGTACTTCCTCCCTGCCGCAGGCGCACTTCCACCTTCTGAATGACTGTCATGTAAGACTTGCTAGGGTGGCCTTAGAGGTTGGGGCCCTGGCAATACGACACTTTGGTTAACTGGAGATATGAAAGTCCCACAGAGACTTGAGTCTGGCATTGGCCCTGCCCACCACCTCAGAAGTAACCCCTTAATTGTAATGTTCCGTCGAGTCAGAACCAACCCATAATCAAGCCTTCAGTGGGTTTTCAGAGGCAGTTAATCACATGAGAGGAGACTATCCATCCTTCTCCCACAGAGTAGCTGGTGGATTCCAACCACGTGCCTTTGGGATTGCAGCACAGCTTCTTACCACTAGGCAACCAGAGCTCCCTCATATAATGCCTATAGTGCCATCATGCACTTGCCAGCCCCTTTCATCCATCTCTCAGCATCTTAGAGCACATTTCAAATGAAAGATGGTGCATTGCACCCAAAACATACAGGCAGACACACAGACACACCAATGCAATGTGTTCACACATAATCACACACATATGTGCATGCACAGACATGTGTGCACCCACAAACACAGAGAGACATGGACTCCCATGTATTCGCTCCAATAGAGATGCTAATGCAGACAAGCACACCAGTGTGCACAGGTGTATACACATGCACACATACAGTCACACACACATGAACTCACAGGTACACAATGTGCACACAGCTGGCCATGCTCTTACACACATGCACCTTCACACACACATGCACTCGGGCTTCTTGAAAAGCCTGGTTCTCAGTCCACCTCACCCCCACAGCACACTGCTCTCCCTCACTCACAAGTCCCCTGGGGTTTTATTTGCCTTGAGGAGATTCGTTAGCATTTTAACTCTTCTCTGCAATGAAATTCATGACTAGGTAAACATGTGACTTGGGAAGCAAACTGCTTCAGAAAACAAAGTGTCCAAACTCCAGCCATTCCACCTTCAACCACAGCAATGACTTACATCTAATCGCAGGCTAGCCAGGACAGAACAACTAGAGTCCTAGTGGACACTCTTCCCCATAGCCCTTAGGGGAGTTCTGTGCCCAAGACCCCACTCTTCCATCTCTGGCCACTCCCTGCTAAGGACACTGGTTTCAACTCAAATTCCTACCAGGACCAACTTCCCCTCAGCCTACAGCAGTACTCCTATGGCCTGGTATCATCCATGCTCTGCATCAGACTCCTGGATTTGGTCTTGGATCCCAGGCTGTTCCCTCACACTGACCCTGCACTCCTGTCCATTCACTTCTCTTCCAGTCCCTTTGCTCCTGAATTGGCTGGTACTCACTAGACGGCTCCGCCCTGCCCTTGCCATACAGCTCATCATCTTAGGCTGGCCCTGCTCTGCTGCTCTGGCCTTTCCCTGTTTCCCCCACATCACCCTGGAGTGTCCCCTGTGTGCTGGCACCCTGAATGCTGAGAAGTGCCCGCTGTGCCTGGGCATGACTAGGTTGTCCAGATCACCTGCATCCTGGCCACGCTGGCCTATAGCAGGCAGCCAGCAGGCCAGCTCCACCTCTAAAGACCAAATTCTACATATTAGATCTGCTAGTGGATGAGCCTTCAGCCAGCCCACCCATCCTTGGGCCTGGGAACTAAGCAGGTGGACTTGAGAATCCCTCAGCTTCCCTTGAGGGTGGCACTGCCCCTGCAGTGGGTGAGCTGAGTGGAAGGGCTGAGGGCTCAGACAACTGCCCAAGGAGCCCTCAAAGAATGCCAGGTCTTAAAGAACCCCATGGCACTCACTCCAAGGTGGAAACCTCAAGTGTTCCCACATCACCACCCCTAATCCCTCCTGACCACCCCATAGCAACGGCACTCCACACCTCACCCCCTCCTGACCACTTACATCACCCACTCTGAGGCCCCCTCCTGACTACTCCACAAAACCACCCTACCACTCACCTAGGGACACAACCCAAAGACTAGTACCCAGACAATGATTCAAACCCTGTCAGACAGGTTCTGCTCAGCCCAACCTGGAAGCAACCATCAGTGGCTCAGTCCTCCCTGGATCCTTCCACTTCAGCAGGAGCCCACAGAGGTCCAAGGTCTTGGGCTAACCCTTTATGGAACTTCCAATGTCACTGTCACTGACTGAGGACATTGGCCCCGAGGGAACCCAGCTCTCCATTCAGCCTTCGTCCTGCTGCTCCTCACCGCATCACGATAAATGATCCCAAACTCCCCCTGTGAGCCGTGGTGCTACCAGGATTCTACCAACTTCAGGGGCCTGGAATGGCCACTAGCATGCTCCCTCCAGGCTGATAGCCTCACCAGGATTCCTTGACCAGTGCTGCCCCACCTGTAATCACGCCCTCCCTCACCAGGCCCACATATGACCACGCCCTACATCACACGCCCACCTTTGCCTCCCCCCCTGTGACCACCCCCACCCACCCACGCCTGTCCCCACCTGTATTTACATCTACCTGTGGCTATGCCCACCTGTGCCTTCCTCATCTCTGCCCATGCCCACCTGTGCCCATTCCACTAGCAGTCATCCCCATCTATGCCTGTGTCGTGCCTGCAGTTCCAGTTCTCTGCCCCAGAGCATCTGCTTCCTGTTGTGACGGGTTAGGCCTCACTCAGCATACAGGAACAGCAACAGCATCAAACAGCAACAGTGCCAGGGCTCGGTTGTCCTGTCAGTCTTCAGCATTTGCATAGGAAGGGGGCCTGCTTCATGGTTGATGACATGGGACACGGGATACCGAGTCTCGATCCAGATGAGCCCCTGCTGTCCAGAGCCTTGGCTGGGCCAAAACAGACTAATGGGACGGGCCTGTGGGAGCTGAGCACAGACAGCAAGGGGGAGACAAGCAAGGCTTGGGGGAAGCGGAAAGACCTAGGGGAACTCGTGAGGGATGGCGTTTGGGACCAGTGATGATCCCTGATTAACGGGAGAGGACAGCAGGAGCTGAGCGCAGACACCGAGGAGGGGGAGGGAAACAAGACTGACATGAGGGAGGGGAGAGAGGGGAGATAAAATGAGGGGATGGGAGGGGAGGGGGATGAAGCAGGAGGATATGGGCAACACAGGGGACTGGAAGATGGGGGAGGAGGGTATGTGGAGTGGGCAGATCTTGGGGGCAGGGGAAGCAGGAGATGGGGGACACAGGATGCAGAGACAGAAGCATGGTGGTAGCAAGACTGACCCTGGAGTTTTGGGGTGTTACAGTACACCTGCACCAGGGCCTAGGGAACACCCAAGGGCCAGAACAAGGGTATGGATTCCACAGATGATCCCACGAGAACCTCAGAAACCCATAGCACTGACAGGGAGGAGGTACTACATGTAGCCAAATTGAGTGGGTTTTTATTTCTCTCGAGTGGACATGAGTGCCAGATGAATGGCAATAGCCAGGAACAAACATTCCTTAAAATGAAAACCCAGGCACAATAATAACAGTATATTTGGCTCTGCACGTTTCTGTCACAGAAACAACCTTGAATGGAAGCCTGGGCTTCTCCCAGGACTGTGTGGTGACCTTCTGCGGCCGGCCTCTGGGCACGCTCCAGCCCGTGTCAGGCCTGCACCATGGCTCAGAGTACAGTCTGCAACGGTGCAGCATTTCCTATGTGCATGTTCCTAAAAGTCAGAATAACTTAGTTGGCATTTACAGCACTTTCAGTCTGTCAAGAAGTCCTCAGCTGGACATCCTGAGGTCCGACACAGCGAGTCCCTCCACAGAGCAGGTACCAGGGCCAGCCTGTGTCTCTTGGCATCCCCACTGGGCATCCATGACATGTATCCTGGCTAGGCATTCCCAGTGGGCAGCCGTCCTGGGACTTCTGTGTCCTCTGAGGCCAGCAGAGTTGCATCATCAAGCCAGGCAGCAAGCAGCAGTCACTCTGTGCTAATCTCACATGGGTTCAGCCCCTTCTCCTGGGCATCCCGGTACATCCTCTGGAAATCTAAGAATCTTGGAGCGCAGCCTAGCCGGGCCTCACCAAAGTGCATCTGGCCAGTGAAAAGGAAGTCCCCGTGTCCAGGCCGCACACCACATTCAAGCAGAGTCTTAATGTGGCCGCGCCAGTGGCCACCACCCTCAGGGTCTGGCTGGAAGACCCTGCTCTTCTGTCGGTAGAGCCGGCTGACCTGCAGGTAGATGGCCGATTCCTGCTGCTCTGGTTCATGAGTCACATTCTGGATGGAGCCGCGGACCACTGTAGGGGAGATCCAGGGCTGGTCAGCCGGGTCCTGGCCACAGCACAAATACTGGCACACACACCTGCCGTCCTAAGCCCAAGCTCTGTGCTCAGAAGTGCCACTAGCACCACGTGAGACTACTTAGTCCATAACACAGAGCCTGAGACCACCGAGCCACTGGCACCTCCAAGAGGCAGCACCTAAGTCAAAATGTGCATTTGCCTTTAAAGGTGGAGAGGGCCAGAAAGGTGAGCACGTATCTGCAGCCCACTCTGACCTAAGAGATCTTGTGAGCAGAGAGGGAAGGGGAAGGGATGGTGCATGTTGTGCGGAGGGGGAGGGTGAACAAGCATGATGGAGAGGTGGGACGTGTTGGGGGAGGGGCATAGTCTTGTGGGCGGGACTGGCTGTGCTGGGGGAGGAGCACAGACATGGGAGAGATGGGAGGGGAGAGGTGGGGGGGAGGTCACACAGGTGGGGGAGGAGTTAAGTGTTTGGGGGGAAGGCACAGGCATGAGGGAGGGGTGGGATCTGCTGTGGGAGTGGCACCTAGGGATCAACTGTACAGGAGCTGGCTGTGCTGGGGGAGGGTAGAGAAGGCAGGTAGCATGGGGTGTGGTGTGCCTTGCAAGAAGCACCTCCTGAGCGCCAGGCAAGAGAGGGTCACTTGAGAGGGGTTGGGCTGAGTTTGTGCCCCTCACCAACCTGGGCCCCCAGAGAGCTGTGATGCATCGCAGACCCAGTGCGGCTTCTATTCTTGGAGCTGGGGGGGGTGGGGGGAAAGGTCCCAGAGGTAACTCAATGGCAGAGGAGGTGGGGCACGTGGTTGCTCTGGCCAGCTGCTGGAGCCCACGTGGACTGAGTACAGGGGGCTCTGGGACGGGACCTAGGGGCTTCACGCAAGCATCATACAGGAGGGCAAACAACTAAGCGCCTCTGACCTTGGTCCCCAGCCTCACGAGGGACAGTGGCCATCTCACCAGCAGAAGCCCAGAGGAGGAGCAGAGCCCAGCACAGCTTGTCAGTAACACCAGGCCACTGACAGGATGTTTACAGAGCACTTCCCCCCAAGGAAGGGTCTCTTGAGGGTGACACCATTTACAGAACGGACTGTCTTGGATCATCACTTTAAATATTCAACTCTCAGCATCCTTTCTGGCATGTGTGTGCATGTGAGCATGTATGTATGTATGTGAGTGTGTGTGTTCATGTGTACCTAAGTACCTGTGTTTCTGCACATAGATACATTTGTACATGGCAGGTGTGCAGGCTAAGTGTGTGTACACTTGAGTGTATACCCACACGTCTACACATGTGCATTATAGGAGTGCATTGTACACGTGTGTATACATGTGAATGTGTATACATGCCTGTAGTGTACACTGCGTATGGGTGAGCGAGCATGTGCACACATGTGCCTGTGTTTGCACATGTGTGTGTTGTAGATGTGCACTGCCTGTACACAGGTGTGTCTGTAACTGCACGTGTGCACTATACATGTGTGTGCATGTGTACTGCTTGTGTGTATATGTACACGATGCACATTTGTGTTGACATATGTGTACATATGCGCATTATCTGTGTGCATGCATGCATGTGTACGGACAGGCTCTTTTCTCCTGAGGGGGGGCAATCCACTCCACAGAAAGAAAAGCTCCTCTCATGTGTTCAGTGGGTCGTGGGTGGGGGGCATGCAAGTCCAGATCCTCAGCAAACCATCCCGTTCCCGCAGAGCACTGGCCTGAGGACGGGGCCCTGAGCCAGAGGCGTGGGCTCAGAGAGGGTAACAACGCTTACCAAAGTCACTGGTGCAGACGGCTAGGAGGACCTCAATGTCGCTGCAGGGGCGGCACGGGGCTAAAGGAGAGGAGAGAGAGACACAGCATCAGTAGGCAGCCTCATAAAAAGCAAAAGGTAGAACAGCAGGGCGCCTCCAGGTCCAGCGTGACCTGCTGATAGAGACTACGAGTCAGCAGCCCATCTTGGCCCATCAGAGATGCTGTCCTCAATGATCTGCCAGCTGCTTTACAACACAGGCTTATGGTAAAATACAGTGTGCAAATGTGAGCCCAGCAGAGCAGCAGGGGCTGGCAGGAGGGTGCTGAGCCTCTCTGTTTGCATCTCCAATGATACTACAGAAGGAAGTTGAGAGAGCCGAGGTGTCAAGTAGGAGCAACAGCAGGCATGGCTCCACTTATGAGGACCCAGGGCAGACCTGGATTACCAGCAGGTGCCAGGGTCCACAGGTGAAGATCACTAGATGTGTGCCCCTGGTGCTGCCGCCGTGAGCACCATCAACACTGACTAAACCCACCCTCAGGTCCCAGCCATGGCTGACCCACCAGTCCACAAACGGCCACCATTGAGCTACTTCTCCAACTTTATCCCTTCACGCTGCTCTTCCAAGAGGAATGAGGTCTCCCCACAGAATGTCTAACTATCCCACTCATGACCCTGGCCCCATTGGTAGATCTCCCAGCCCACCTGCAGATAGCCACCCCTCTACTCACTGACAACCAGCTGTCTCCTCTCACAGATAGTCAGGTACCCCACTCTCAGTCTTTTTTTTTTTCCATTGAGGCATTTTATTTGCACTGTTTATTACATCTCTAGAAAAAGAATCCCAGGATTTTTCCTCCTGTGTGTTTTCGTCTTGCTTCCTCGTGGTCCATGATGCCAGCTGAGGTTGTCAATACAATGAAACCAAACTGACGGGACGGGAGCAGATTATTCTGCCACTTTTCTAGATCTCTGAGCTGCACATCAAATCTGGGGCTGATAACACCACACTTGTTTAACCGGCCTGTGAGGCTGACAACAATTTTCCCCGCTCTGTGATCATCAATGATCTCAAATTCGCCAACGTAGCCACGCTTCCTCATCACGGTCAGGAACCGCACGATGACTCTGGAGCACGGCCTGACGAGAGCCTGGCGCTCGCCTCTCTCCTCGGCATTGCTGATGCTCTTGAGAGCGTTGGCCAGGACGTTCACGCGCACCATCGTGGCGGCACGGAAAGAGGGCGGAAAGAGCCCACTCTCAGTCTTATGTCCCCACTGATGGACAGTCACTCATCCCCCACCCACAGTCAAGAGTCCCCACTCATAGACAGTCAGGTGCCCCGCTCAGTCATTTGACCCCCACTAGTGGACAGTCAGGTGTCCCACTCACAGTTATATGACTCCACTCATGAACAGTCACTCATCCCCCACTCACAGACAGTCGAATGTCCTCCACACACAGTCACTCATCCCCCACTCACAGCTGACCATCTCCCATCCACAGTGAGTCAGGTGTCCCTTGACAGTCGGGTGCCCCACTCACAGTTCTATGTCTCAACTCATGGACAGTAGAGTATCCCCCACTCATGGACAGTCAGGTGTCCTCCACTCGCAGACAGGCCAGTGTCCCCTCTCACAGACAGGTAACCCCACTCATAGACAGTTGGGTATCCCCTACTCTTGGACAGGAGGGTGCCCCTCACTCACGGACAGTGTGGACCATGCTCTCCCACTGAGAAATGGCCACCTCTCACTCATGGATAGTTGGATGTCCCCCATTGGACGCTGCTCAGGGCACTCAAATGAGATCCCACTCCCACCTGAACTTCTTCACAGAACCATCTGTGTGATCCCCTAGAACTAGGAGAACCTAGAAATCATATCCTCTCAGGCTTACTGGACTTACCCCTGGGATAGAGCCAGGCCTTGCACAAGACTTCGTCCCAAGATTCCTCACCTCTTCTCCCCCAACCTGAGGCTTCCCACCTGCCCTCTCCAGACCCAAGGGTCTCCCACCTGCCCTCCCCCATCTGAGGTTCCCCCATCTGTCTTCCTCCCACCAGAGGTTCCCTCCCCCCTCCCCAGTTTTGGTTTCCCCATCTACCCCCTGAGGTTCCTTCCCCACCCCTCCCCTCCCCTGCCTGAGTTTCCACTCTCTGCCCTCCCCCCACCTGAGGTTCCTCCATTTGCCCTCCCTTGACCTTCTCAACAGACTCTCAGTTCTTATCTCTGGATTGGGGTGGGGAGAAGGTGGGAAGCTGCTACCCTGACAGACTTTGTTGTAAGGAAGCTGGTGGAGACAGGCTCTTCTGCCCTTTCACAGTGAAGTCCCCAGAGCTGCCGTGCCTGCAGGTACCGAGACCTCAGGCAGCACGATCCTGGTCACACACTTGCCAGCCACTGTGTCCTCCTCAAGGAGTCACCCCTACCCTCTGCTGGGCTCCAGGGACAAGTAGGCAGGTCACCACAGGGCTGAGCCTTTTTGGATGAACAGAAGCTCAGAGAAAGCTCGAGGTATTGGCTGAGCAGTGCTGGGCCAAGGCCAGAGATGGGGGACATCTCCCCAGGCAGAGACTGGACTAGGCGCCAAGTCTCATCATGATACCACTGCCAGCAGGTACTCAATGGAAAGACCAGGGATGCCCATGCGGGGGGAGAGGTGAGCAGGGTGGAGAGACAGCCAACGCACACCTGCACCTCGCCCAGGCTGCTGACTCACCTGCCCCAGGGGGCACCTCACCTATCAGGTTATCACCAATGGGAAAAGCCGCAGAACAAGAACAACCTGTTTGACTCCTCTCAAACCCAAGCCAGTCTGTAGGGTGAGGTTGGGTGCCTCTGGCACCCCAGGCCCTAAACCCAGGAACCCTCCCCTTTCACTACAGCCAGAACCCAGGAAGCCGTTCAACAAACTGAAGCAGAGCCCCTCCCCCCCCCCCAAAGCCCTTGCCTTGGGGGAACAGACGTGGGAACATCACTCTCGAACTCATACACTTCAGCAGGTCTCTGGCCACTGGTGACCCAGCTGAAAGAGGGCTCTTGGTCCCTCACGTCTGGGGATAGCAGCTAACCCACTCACTTGCTGTCCTTTCTTCCCAAATGATGACCTCAAAGAGTGGCCAATGAGGCTAATCCAGGTCCTCACCTGGGCAGCCCAGGGCACTCAGCTGCCAAGTTCACACTCCCCAGTGGTCAACTCTGCTCTCAAGAGGCTGGACATCTAGGACCATGGTACACATAGTCCAGCTCAATTCTGGACACCAATGTCCTGGACCACTCAGAGGATGCGTGCCAGAGTTACACCCTGAGGTGGGTCAAGCTGGTGGCTCCCAAAGGTGACACAGCTACATAGCCACTGTCCCAAGCACCGCTCAGACAGTCCATGTCTTACCTGTGGACCTTGGGGACACACAGGCAAGGTGCCCACTCTAGTCCCTGCCTTGCCATCAGCCCACCTGCCAGCGTGGGTGAGGGGCCACCACTCACTCCCATGAAACCAGTGTCACTGTGAACACAGGAGGATCTTGGCCAAGACACAGTCTGGGCTCGAGGGATCATTAGGAAAGAATTGCCAGGTGAAGTGTGATGGGCAGTGAGGTGGCAGGTCTTGTTAATCATGGGGAGGGGTATAGGGACAGGAAGCAGGGATGGTCCTGGGAAGGAGGGATGGATGTGTCTGGAATGGGCATGAAATGGAATGTGTGTGAAATGAAGTGAGCAGAGAAAGCAGAGAAGGAGCTTCTGAAGTGGCCATGGAGTGCAGAGGAACAGGATGTCAATCTGTCCTTGGATTCACGTTGCCTCAGGAGGCAATGTGCTGTGGTTGAGAGGCCTGCAGATGATCGGAGGCAGCAGCAGTAGCCGCACAAGGAGGCCACAGACTCCAAAATGAAGGTGGTGGGGCTCAGATGTGGATGGTGAGGGCAGTCACCACATTTTAATCAGAAGGAGGCCAGAAGAGGGTAGTGGACAGAGCAACCTGACTTTCCCCATGTCCTACCATACCCCAGCCTCCACACAGACCTCTATATCCTAACACAACTCCTGGATACTTCTTTAATTGTCCACTGAGGTCCAGCCAGGTTTAACGTGTAATTTGAGTGTGTAGCCTGTGTTCTCAAGGCCACCAGGACTGAGATGAAGGAGTTCTGTTCACCTGTCTTTCTACCTACGTAGGGATGCCAATCATGGGGCCCATCAGTACCACACTGCAATCACTTGCCACTGAAGCCTCTGGTTCCCCAGGGGAGTAGCCCAGCTCAACAGCCCCCCCCAAACCTCTCTCTGGGTGAAGGCCAAGTCTGGAAATGAGAGGCCCTCGCAGCGAGGGGGCCAGTTCTCATGCAGCAGTGGACTGGCTGGTAGTATGCAGACCCCAGGCCTGTGCAGCATAGGCCACCATGTTGGCTGCCAGATGACCAGCCCAGCCAATATTCCACAATTCCTTCAGTATTAAGGGCTTAGGGTTCCACCTTTGTTTAAAAGCAAATGTCTGAGAAGGACACAGGATCAGAGAACCTCACTCAACCCAACTCCTGAAGGCTAGTAGTGTAGAGCCTGGGCCACCTGCAGAGCCTAGACAGTCCTGACAGTCAGGCCAGACTGTAGTTGCTGGGCAGCAAAGGTCACTAGAGAGCCAAGAAGCAGGCTGTGGGGAACCAGCGGCCAATCCTGTGCCTGTGGTGGACCTGTACCTGATCAGCCTAAAAGTTGGACACCAAGCGCACAGGGATCTCTCCTGGGTTCCAGTCACCCAGGTCTTAGGGTTAAGGTTAAGGTTCTTGTTAGACACCTAAGAGGCAGTGGCTCCAGGATCTTAGTCTTTGTACATGCAAATGCCTATCAAGTGAGCACAGCATGATGCTAAAATCCGGAATGTCATCAAAATCCTGCACTCAAGTCACAGGGCACCGGTGGCCAGCAAGAATGTCCTCTAGGCTGACGGAATGCTGATGTTTTCAGTGGCTGGCCAGCAACTCAGACCAGATTCCAGAAGGTTGTATTTGTGCAAAGAGGTCCGGTCCTGGTGGCTTATCCAGACTGTGAAGTGGACTACTGCTTATCCAGACTGTGAAGTGGACTACTGCAAAGTCCACTCCAGTCAAGATTTAACTCCAAACTCAAACCACTTCTGTGCCATCGCTACACCTCTCAGGAAGCTGTAACCTTTACGAAGGACTAGACATTATTGTGAATGTCAGATGGATCTTGATAGAAAGCAGAGAACTAGAGGTATATCTATCTGTACTTCATTGACTATTTGCAAAGGCATTAGACTGTGTGAATCACAACAAATTGTGGTTAACCTTGAGAAGAATGAGAATTCCAGAATACTTGATTGTGTTTATGTGAAACCTATAGTTGGACCAGGAAGCAGTCCTCAAAGCAGAGTAGGGAAACATTGAATGGTTCAAAATCAGGAAGGGAGTATGTCAACGATGTGTCTATCTCCATACCTTTTCAATCTATATGCAGAACAGATCATTCCGAGGCTGGGCGTAATAAGGAGAAATGTGGCATCAGGATTGGAGGAAGACTCAACAACAACCTACATTATACAGAAAACACAACCTTGCTTGCTGAAACTGAGGAGGACCTGAAGCCCTTGCTACAGAAGGTCAAGGACTGTAGTCTTCAATATGACTTCAATGTTGACTGAAGCTCAACATCAAGAAGACAAAGATTCTCACCACTGGGCCAACTTAGTAAGTAGCACCATGATGGATGGAGAAGAGATTGAGGTTGTTAACAATTACAGTTTAGTCCGCCCCACAGTCAACACCCTTGGTACCAGCAGCCAGGAAATCAAAAGACAAAATGCATTAGGTAAATCTGTTGTCAGGGACTTTTTGAAGTACTGAGAAGCAACAAGGTCAGTCTAGAGATTAAGATGCATCTGATCCAGGTCATGGTCTTCAAAATTACTTGCTATACACCAGAGAGCAGGACAATGACTAAGGATGACAGAAAAAAAGATTTGATGCCTTTGAGTTGTGGTGCTAGAGAAGAGTCTGGAACATACCATGGACTGGCAAGAAAACAAATAGGTCTGTCTAGGAGAGGGTGAAACCAAGTTTCTCCTTGGAGGCTAGGATTTGGAAGCTCCATCTCACATATTTAGGGCACGTGGCCAAGAGGGACCGATCCTTAGAGAAGGACATCATTCTCGGAAGGGTGGAGGGACAGCACAGGAGAGGGAGATCCCAGATGAGATGGATTGACAGTAACTAGGGCAATGGGCGCACACATGTTGGAGTCAGTGAGGCGGGGTTAGCACAGGACAGGCTTCAGAGCTGCTGTATGCTATGAATTACAGGCAACTTGAAGGCACATTAACAACAACAAAAACAACAAAATCTTGCTCCCATCACCAACTTTCTGGTTCCGAGGCCAACACACCACCAGGGATCCTCAGTTAGGATTCTGCTGGTCCTGCAGGACCTGATTCAGAACGGACTCCATGCAGCAGGTGTTATCTGGGGCCTGGGTTTTCAAGGCTTTACAGAGCTATGGTCTTTTGACACCAAGTTCTGTCTCCTGGCCACCCCCAGCGCCAATTCCACCCGTCCTCTCTTCTAGGGCTTCCACTTTCCACAGAGCCACCCTGACCCCCCTTCCTGCCCCAGGGCCTGCCTCTCCCCTCCTTGTTCTTCCTCGTCAAGGCTGCTGGCCAAGAGAGGGTAGCTCTGCCTTGTTAAAGTTTTATTTAGCATCCACCCAACCGCACGCGCTGAGTGTAACAGCTCTCAACGCTGCAGCTCAAGAACCAGTAATTTCACTTGGCAGCTTCCAGCGGGAGCCAGAGCAGGCTCACCACTGAGAATCCAGTATCGACCTGAGCCAGTGACCACAGTGTAATCCTAACTGACTCAGGGGAGGGGGATTGCGTGCCCCTCTCAACTCTCCTAGACTCAAGTGTGGAGAATCCAGCCCTGCAGGCCTCTCCCTTCTGCACACTAGACAGGATGGATGGCTTACTCTTCGTTGGGGTTTCATGCTGCTGTGGGTGTCCAGTACCCTTCCAGCCTTCAGCCACCAAATGCCAGGGGTACCATTCCTCAGAGTCCAGATAACCAAGGGTGTCTCCAGGTCCTGACCCCTGGGCCACTGAGGACACTAGCAATGAGGCCTCTGAGGGTACATCAGGGAGGACTGGAAAGTGGTCCAGGAAGTCAGCAAGATCACAGTTGAAAGACAGGCCAGGTGTGCCCAGACCCGCTGGACCAAGTACAGAAAAGAACTGGCAAGTAGGATGGCCAAAGAGAGATGAGACTCAAAGTCACAGACTCAAGAGGAATCAGAGGTGAAGGTGCCCAGTCATCACTCCATCTAGAGTCCCATTTTCAGATGGGCCTCACGGTGACAGCAATGGACAAGGGTAGGGTACAGCTTGGACCTCCATATTCAGCACCTCTGGTGGGCTGAGTGCCTTTAAGGGAAAGGACAGAGCTGCCTCCAGCAGAAAGCAAGACATACAGACAGGTACCCAAGGATACCCAGGCACAACTCACCCACATATCCACACCCCAGCCTCAGTGACATTCCCCTTCAGAGCCCTGACTTGGCAGGGGCTAAGCTGGACGACTGGGTATGGGTCCTATACACTCTGCTGTAGTTTGAAGAGGACAAGGCAAGGGACAGGCCCCTAATGCAGCCAGGGTACAGTGGCATCGTGCGGCCACCTTGTAGGACTCTTCCTTCACAGAGGGACAGGTCAGCAGATCCCACATCAGGCAGGTCTGAGACTATCTGGTCAGTGGATGCTCCTGCTGGCTTGCTGCCTGCTTAGACCAAAGCCTCTGACTAACTCTGAGTATTTAGGCTCTGAAAGGCAGCAGCATCCATTCCCAGCCAGGTGGCCAGGCTCACCAGGGCTCAGCTGCCTTCCACCAGGGACAAACCCACCATGTCCATGTTCAGCAAAGCGAACACTTTGTAGGCCGTGCTGGTATGGAAAGAGGCATGTGTTCCACCGTGAGAATTGACAACAAACCACCAGGAGGCCAGGTACAACACCTGTGTCCTCTACATGCCAGAATGCCTTCCATGACCATCCATCCTCCAGGATCCTCGGCATGTCCTCAATGCCCCAGCATGAGCCCATGTTCCAGTACATTGCCTCTTGTGCATGTCCAGGCACACCCCCAGGCTTCATCTCAGTATGTCCCCCTGATGTCCCAGCATGGCCCCAACACTCCGACACCCTCCCACATCCAAGCACACTTCCAATGTTCTAGCATGCAATCTCATATCCCAGCTCATCCCCAATGCTCTGTCATACTCCCCACATCTCAGGATATCTCCCACTCAAGGTGTGCACACCCCAAACACACTTCACCTCCACTTACCAGAGAGGGCCAGGAGGTCCGAGCCAGAGCGCCGACGCAAAAGCTCATACTGGAAACCAGTGGTCCTCCGGCTGATGTCCTGCTGGGGCGAGGCTTCCACAAAGAGGCCACCCTGATCCAGCCCAAAGCAGCGCACCTGGCGGGTGCTGTGCGCCCCATCCTGTACTAGCAGCCGGAGTGCACCAGTCTTCTCCAGGTAGAGGCTGGCCCCTGAGGATCCTGAGGTCGGCTTGATGCACACAGTCAGGTGCTTGGTGGGGACAAAGGTGTTCGGCCGGAAGTTGACGATGAGAGCTCCAGTTGGGTACATCCACTCCACAGTGCCCTCAGAGCAGCGCAGGTACACTTGCTCCACCTCCTTCCTGTGTGCCTCATGTGTCAGCCCACTGTGAAGAGGCCAGCAGAGGTCAGTTAGACTCTAACCTCCAGACTCCCTGCCCCAGCAGGACCCTCCTCCTCACCAGGCACAGGACAGAGCCAGCCCGCACCTACAGTTCAGAGCCCTCATGGGGGATACCCACAGAGTCACTTCTGAAGGTACACCCACAGATGTGAGAGTGGCTAGACCCTCAGGCGTCCAGACACCTTTGTCCTGAAAGCTCAGAGCCCTGCGTTCTCCTGAATGGGGTAGATGAATACAAATGTGAGAACAAAGGAGAGATTCCTTCAGATGCACAGTAAATGAAGAGAACCATGGAGACCCTGGGCTGTTGGCCTGAGCATGCAGAAGCCACGAGTGACCAGGCCCACATCCTCAGGAAGGTCAGCGGGGTGGGTGGGACTCACTGGTCTGCACAAAACGTTGCCCCTAAGGGGCTGATATCACCTTACTTACAACTTATCACTTTACTCATCTTAAACCTGAGAACCTGCATCATCAACAGTATTTTCAAACCCAAATCCCATCAAAGTAAGATGCAATACAGCAGCAACGGCATCTTTCCAGGGCAGGAGATGCCACCACAAATCACTTGCCCAAATGCGTGAAAGAAATGAGAGCGGGGAACGGAACAGGCGCCCTGACCTCCTGAGGGGGCTTTAAAGCAGCTAGCTGGCTGTGTCCCTAATAAACACCCAAAGGGAAAAAAAGCGAAGCGTGCTGTGCTCTGGTGAAACACATTCTCAAGAAATAGAAACTCTCAAGACAAAGTTTCTCCTCAGAGCAGTGATGTAAGTGTCACCTGTGATCAGCAGTGACTGAGGGTTTCATTACATCGAACTGGGTTCTGATCAGATCTGGGACAGGTTTTCCTGCATTCCCCGGATTTTTAGGTGGGATAAACAATGCCGTATTGAGAGGCCCTGCCTGAGCGGGTCATCAGAAGCCAAGAGGCACACACATGGTTCATATTTACTGGTGAACGAGTCGGGCTCTGGCCCCACCAGCTTCACTTTTCATACTATGGACGCCATAGGCCAGGCTAGATGCTCATCCTGAGAAACACGGCAGATGGCAGTGACCTGGCCTTGCACCTCCCCCAATCCTGGGTTACCTCAGACAGCCACTGAGGCTGCACAGGTGCAGCTAGCCTACGTAGTCCAGTTCAGTCCAGCACACACACAGGTGTACCTGACCCATGTACGGGGGCGGAGAAAAGTACCTGTGCTGCAAGGAAAATGACTCGAGACAGTGAATGGCTGCCACAGAGAACTAGAACAGGCTCTAGTGTGGCCCCGACAAGCTTCCACAGTGTTCCTCCTCTTCTGTGCCCAGCAGCAAGGTGCATCTGGACACCTGACTTCAATACCAAACAAACCAGGTGTCCCACAGCAGAGGGAGTGAGTTCACACTTAAGGCTCCAGACACGCCTCAGGCCTCTCCCTCTCCGCAACCTCCTGCAGCAGCCTGTGTCCAGGGCTGCTGTTCCAGCACACACAGCCACCTGTATGTGGCTGGATTTCATCAGAAATCACTTGATACACAGAAGACTGGACATAGAAGGTAGATAGGAAGATAAGTTACCTAACTCTATAGCTCACTCAAACTCAAACCCACTGTCACTGAGTCAATCACAGCTCACAGGGACCCTCCATCCAGTTTCCCTGGTGGTACATCCTTATGGAAGATTACTCATCTTCTCTGAAGAGGCTGCAAGTTTGGAACCACTGACCTTTTGGTTGGCAACACAACACACTATGCCACTGTTGCAATCGAGTTGACTGTGACTCCTATTGACTTATGTACAACCGCACAAAGCCCTGTCCCAGCTTGCACACCCTCACGATCTCTGCGCTTTCCAACACCCACAGAAGAGGGTCTGCATCCATTCCCAGGGCCTGGGTTGGCCCATCTCTCATATTTTCTTAAAACAACAGTCAACGAGAATGCAATCCCATCTCCCACGTAGGGATCCTCACCAAGAACAGGGTGGAGCGTGCTGTTCAAGGCCTCAGGGGGGGCTCAGTCCAATGTCTGTGCTGATTCTCATCAAAACATGGAGCAGCCCAAGTACCACAGCAACCTGAGAAAATTCCCCAAACATACTTTATGTCACTCATGGTGTGGCTTCACCACTGCCACAAGCATGCAGGAGAGCCAGGCACACCTGAGCCACCGAAGCAGGACTTACTGTGCAAATGGCCACTGCTTGGTGGGGACAGAGGGTGCAGGTGAAGCCACTGCTGTCACAGAGAGCACTGACAGACAGCTTTATCTGTGATGAAGTCAACTGAGGAAATGTATTTTTCAAGAAAAATAACCCATGGTTATTGCCCAGGTAGGTACACACGGGGACTGTGATGGAAAAGAGGCGATGGTCTAAGTCAGCATGAGGCCTCAGTGGGGCAAACAAGGGTCTCTGGAGGGGTCAGTGGTGGCCAGAGGGAACCCACCTCACACACACCTGACTCCAGCCCAAGTCTCAGAGCGCAAGCAGGGAAGGGCTCGGAATCAAGGTGTGGTGGAGCAGTTGACTAGGGTTGCTCACCTTTCCACACCTTGCAGGTGAAGTGGCCCAGGTATGAATAGACTTACCAAGCTGCCCGCTGACAGTGTGAAAAGTTCATGGTCCATCTTTATGGCCACTGACTAATGCAGGGCACCAGAGACGCTCTGAGACCCACCCACTCCATTGCTTGGCAACATCTGTCACCGTGAGTGGTCAGTGTCATGAACAGCAGCTCCCTCCCAGCAGGCTGGGATCCACCCTGTGTGCGGAGCCTGCTCCACCCTCGCCTTCAGAACAGCTCATAAAAAGTCATAAAAGCCTCAGCGCTACAGTTAGCACCCCCTCCCTGGGCCCAACAGTGAGTGTGTCAGTGCCACACACTGAGGGTAAATTAAATGGGGGCTTGAGGTCACAGGCTTTGACCCCAGAAATGCAACCTGGTCTTCTCCGGGAGCCTTCACAGCCACCTCTCACCAAGATCTACTGGGGCCCATGAAGGGTCCAGTCAGGGTGCTAGCAACGATGAGGAGGACAGTTTGAAGGTGACCCCCACTTCTCTGAGTGGAAAAGGTGTAAATGAGGCCAAGGGTACCCTCAAACTGCAAATGCCTTCAAGAAGAGCCAGCCCTCAAAGTGGGACTGGGACCCCACCAGTCCTCACTCATAGGCACCTCAGGGGCCCTGGGAAGCAGGAGGGCCTTTCCTTGCACAAGGCCTGAGAACTGGGGAGGCCAGCAGGGGGGGCTGGGCTCCGGTAACCTGCAAGGCACCTGTGGCCAGGTCTGCCTCCCCACAAGGCTGTGAGCTGGGTGCTTAACGACCAACTCCTGGGACAGGGCAGCCTCAGAAGAGTGTGTCAGCCTCAGAGGCTCAGGGCCAGCTCAGCTGGCGCCAGCATTCCCCAGGCCAGCCCTCCCTCATGAGCTACAATCAGCCCTCTCTGCTACAGGGAGAGGGGGAAAGAACTCTCTGGAAGGCCCCTCAGCCTAACCCCAAGAATCCCAAACCCCTGGTCCAGGAGGCAGACCAGGAAGGAGGGTCTTGCAAAGGTTCTGGAGAGCGTGGAGTGTTTGAGTGGCCAGTGACCAGTCTGCTGACGCTGAGCCCCGCCTAGCCGGGCACTGTTGACGGAACCCGATCTGATGGAAAACTGGCTTCACTCACGCTGTGACACACACCCACCGCGGTGTCCACAGCCAGCTGGGAACTACCTTTCTCCTCAGAACCAAGGCGCAGGGACCAGGGCGGGGACTGCCCCGAGAACCACGCACACCGCCCGCCTCACCCCTGGGTCGGCAGCACACTTAGCAAATTCCAGATTTGTCTACTCGGAGAAACAAAACTGGCTTCGCGAGCGGTGGGCTTCTGGCCAGAACAGAGCCAAGGACCGAGCAAGCCCGGCCGGCAGCGTCTCGGCTGAGCAGCCTCGAGCTGCAAGCGCCCCGCCCGCGCACGGGAGACTCCAGGCCCTCTCCGCGTGTCACACTTCAATTATGAGAAAGTTCTCAGCCGCCACTGCAAGGGCCGTGGGGGAAGGGTCGCCTAGCTAGCGCGCGGGCCGGCAAGGGCGGCCTGACCTTCAGCCGGTGAGGCTGGGGTCTCGGCCGCCCGGCCCGCGCTCGGCCTCCGCTCACAGGTGCCGCCTGGGTGGCGGACAACGCAGGGGTCAGCGAGGGGCCGCTCAGCTTCCCCAGAGCCACTCGCCCTCGCGCCCGCGCCCGCCTTTCCCATTCGGGCCCCCGAGACCGCCGGCTCCACCTGGCTCCTGGCGCCCCGGGGGCGCGTGGCTCCCTGCGGTGGGCAGGAGCCGGGAGGGGCAGGAGACTCGACCCCCGCCCTTCCTCGCTGCGCCAGCAGCCTGGGGTCGCGTGTCGGCGGCCCACGGCGCTCGGAATCCCCGGAGGGACCGACTGCCCGGGAGCGGGGGCGGCGGGGCCGCACGCTGGGTCAGACCCCGCTGGCTGTGCGGCTGGCGCGCCTCCTCCGGCGCCCTCCGGGTCAGGGGACTGGGCCGCCGCCGCGGGCTCTTTTGTTCTAGAACCGGGCCTCGGGGTGGGGACAGTACTGGGCCCGAGAAGCGCCCCTCCCGCCGAGCCCCCGCCAGTGCTGGCTGGGTCGCCCCACACACGGTCGGCCTGCTGGGTACCGCCGGCCTTCAGAAGTCCGGGTCGCGCGCGCGAACTCACCTCCCCTTCCAGCTGCACAGGTCGCTGGAGTACTGCGCGCCCACGCTGCCCAGCAGCACGGCCAACAGCAGCAGCGGCGGCGGCAGGGCCCAGCCGGGGGCTGGGAGCCGCAGCCACAGCTGGTCTGCGAGCCCCCGGACAGTCCGCGCCGCGCCCCGCATGCTCCGGCTCGGGCTCCGCCGCCCAGCCGCTCGGTACACGCACCACACCAAGCAAACCCTGAGCCCGGTGCGGCCAGGGTGGCTTGCGAGTGCCGGCCGGGTCACGTCGCGCGCCCTTCGCACACTCGCCACGGCCGCCCGCCCATCCCCACCGGAGTCCGAGGCGCAGGAGCCACAGGAGCGGAGAGCGGAGCCGCTCAAGTTGGAGAGTCCGCGATCACCGTCCCGGTTCAGCTGGGGGGAGGAGTCCGATCGCCTGCCCGCCTCCAAGCCCCGGCCCGCCCCGGGACCCGCCCCTCCAGGCCGGACCCGCCCCCGCGCGCCGGAACGCAGGCCCAGCAGGCCCTGGTCCATCCGTTGCTGGTTCTGGAGAGCGGAGCGCTGCGGATGGGTGGCCAGGAGTCGAACTTCGGTTGAGTGGGGCTTTGGTTATAGGAAGGGGATGCACACAGGCGAGAAAGCAAAAGTCAAAAAGCCAACGTCCAGGCCCGTTTCTGGCCTGTGCTCTGCGATTGGCAGACCAAAATCCGAGACCCTCACAGAGTACTGACTGGCCTGAGGACCTCACCCGCGGGTCCCCGCACCCCCCACCCGCCTTAAAACCTCTCTTGGCCAGTCCTTGGTCTCTTGTTGCGTCCTAAGCTCAGAATCCTCCGCAGAATTCGTGGACACCCTAAGAGGCCGCAGTGCTTTCTGGACGGCGCACACCCCGGCGGTGGGAAGGCTGTGGGTGATGGCAGACATCTCTGCTCGCCTGAAAGCCTGGCTTGTGCGATGCAGTACCCCTGCGCGCTGAGCCCACGGCCCAAGATGGGGCATCACTCTGGTGTCTGATGGGCTCACTGCTCCACTGTTGCCTTCCTCGGTGCCCCCAGGGGCATGGTGACTGTGGGCGCGCCCTGTGCACAGCAGACCTGAGCAGCAACCCAGGCACATCAATAGCATTTCCCGCCCAGGTCTGACACCAGAACTGTTATGGGGCATTGCCAAATGTAAGTGGAAAGAGACAAGTTCTTGGGCTGGGAACGCAACAGTACATCTGGAGGCTGAGTTCAGACTGTCTACCTACTAGGCACCCAAGTGGGCCACCTTGCAGGAATGGGCCAAAGGCCTGGGCCTCCCAGGGGCTCACATTTCTGGGATAGCACAGACCAGGACACCAAATGAGGAAAGGTGTCCTGTTGGCTTAGGCATCTGAGGCCAGAAGTGGATGAGTTCCACCAGCCAGAGGCAGAAACTCCTACCACTTTTTGTGCACTCAGGACGCCCATCGGACTCCGGAAGTTCAGGTGGCCTCAGATGGTTAGAAACTTGAGCTTGGTTCAGCATGTCTTCTCCAGCCAAGACACATTTCAGGAAGAATTTCAAGTGCCCTTGTCAGGGGAGGGCTTCCTGCACTTCCTCATTTGCATAGGTGTCCCTTTCATCTGCCGCAGGGCTGGAGCCTCACTAATTGGGTTGTGACTGGGTTGTGTGAGCGTGGGGGTGGCAGGAAGGCTGGGACCAAAGAAGAGTGGGCATAAACCCAGCAGACTGGAGATTTGGACACTGGTGTCCACTGCAGCGTTATTCAAAAACCTAAAGGTGGAAAAAGATGACAGATAATCAAATGTGGTCTCTCCTGACCACTTGTTACTCAGCCTCCAGTATCAGTGAAGCCCTGGCCAAGTGTGGCCACATTGATGATCTTGAAACTATGAAAGCTAAATGACTGCGGTCACACAAGAACATACAGGGATCCCACTTAGGTGAAACCTCTGGAACGGTCAAATGCAGAGAGGCACAAGGTGGTTCCCAGGGGATGGGGAAATGGGAGTGGTTGTTCAAAGGGTTCTGAACTGCTGTTTGGATGAAAATCTATGGGAATACATAGTCCCAACAGTGGTAATTCAGCCACTGAAAGATACAAGCTTAAAAAAACCCCAAAAAACAAATGAGTTAAAATGCAGAAAAAAAAAACCCAACCAAACAAACAAACAAAAAAACCCAACCCAAAAACCACACAACCACCAAAACTGGTTAAAAAGCTAACCTTTCTTTTCTATTGTTTACCATGATCACAATAAAGCTGAAAAAGAAAAGTGACAGGTGAGTGAAGCCTCAAGTGCTGGGAGTAGGAGACAAAGAATTAGAAGAGGAGACCGTAAAGCAGCCACCTGCTTAGAGGAACTCAAACAGCCTGGGACCTGTCCCAGAATAAGCATGAGCCCTACACCCATGACCCAAGATCAGCAAGAGGCTAAAGGCCTGGACTGGCCGTCTCTACTCCACACAGACCACTTTGGGAGGAAAGCCCTGTCTCCTGCCTCTTCTTGTCACAGGAACCAGGTACAGAAATGGTCTGCACAGAACTACACCTCAGGATTAGAGACTGCCTGCACATCCCTTGGGGCTCTACAGCTGTGAGATGAGCCTAGCTAGCCCCTAGCAGTGGCCATGGCCTTAACTTCAAAGCCATCAGCCAGGGTAAGAACTACACACCATGGGTGAGGGCCTTCCTGAGCCCTTGTCACCCAAACTAGCCCTGTAGACTGGTAGCAGCTGGACCAAAGGCAGAGACATGGACCATGTCCTCACCCAAGCTCTGAATGAACTCCGGCCTCCTGCTGCAGAGTCATCTGCAACAGCTCCACTTCCTGAATACAGTTGTCCTTCCCTGCTGTCAGTCCTGAGCCCATTGGAGTAGTGCACTGCCCCTCCCCATGAGCATCACAGGAGGCTTTGTGGACCCTCTGGGGGTGTAGTCTTGAGATGTGCTGCTAAGCCAAAGGCAGTGGGGTTCAAATCCACCATCAGCTCCTCAGGAGAAAGATGGACAGTCTCCTCATATGCCATTTATAGCCTCAGAAACCCACTGGAGGATGAGCTAGGAGTCAGTTGCCCAAGATACCACTGGAGGGCCAGCCATAAGCTAGTTCTGACTGGACAGCAGTGAATGAGTTGAGGAATGAGAGTTTTCATTCATTTGGAGTTAGATTGCCAAGCCTTTCTTCCTGTTGCTGTTGTCATTCTTTTTATCGAGTGGCATCAATCCACTACAACTCGTAGCCACCCTATGAATGACAGACCTGAACCTCGCTCTCTATCTTGCCTGTCTTCACCATCTCCTACATGCTTACACCCACTGTTGGTCACTGTGTCAATCCTTCTTTTTGAGAGTCCTCCCCTCTTTCTCTGACACCTCATGAAGGCCTAACCTTAGGCACCTGACCATGGACACCACTTCCCAGCTACATACCCTGTGAGTGCATGCAGAGAAAGTCCTGGATCTCCCTGCTGAGGCACAACAGCTGAGAGAAGCCTGCAGGTCCCTTGTCCAGCCTCACTGGTGGTTGGAAGCTGTGAGTCATGGTGGCTCAGAGCTGACTTGCCACACAATGTCCCTCTGTGTGATGCTTGGTGGTGTACACACACCCAGTCTCCATGACACCATTCACAGGGGGTAAGAGGAGACCATAGAGGTCATCATGATCAGTGGTATGCATCCACAGGAGACCACTGGGAACCTTGGAGCGCCTTAAGCCTCAGCCCACCCTGTTCATCTCAAGCACAGGTATCCTCACTGACCACACCCCTCCAGGCAAGTTCCTGTGATAAGACAAGGCTCTGAGGGTGCAGGGGCACAGGTGGAGGAGACCTTGGGTGGTCTTAGCAGCACACTCGGAGGCAGGAACCCTAAGGTAAACTAAGTCAGAGTGGCCACTACCTCGGTCCTCAACCGGGACCTGCGACCAACCTAGTGTGCTCCCTGGAGTAAGCCTGCCTATTGGTCCCTGGAATGAGGCCTTGTCATGGTCCCTAGAGTGAGGTTGCATGCTGGTCCCTGGAGTGATGTTACATGCTGGTCCCGGGAATGGGACCTTATCATGGTCCCTGGAATGAAATCGCATGCTGGTCCCTGGAGTAAGGCTTTACAGTGATCCTATCTCCAGTCCTTTTGTTTTCTCCAAGCCCTTGGCCAGTGCCCCCCTGCCTGGCGAGCAGGTGAAGGGGGCTTGAGGGCTTCTGTCTGCTGGATGGAAGCCCAATCTGTGGTTGAAGAGTACTGAGAATACCGTGGACTGCTAGGAAAACAAATAGATTTGTCCTGGAGAGGGTTAAACCGGGTGGCTCCTTGGAGGCAAGGATTCTGAGGCTCCGTCTAACTTACTTTGGACATGTAGTGAGGAGAGACCGGTCCTTGGAGAGGGACATCATGCTTGGGAGGGTGGAGGGACGGCGCAGGAGAGGAAGGCCCTCTATGAGGTGGATTGATTCAGTGACTGGGATAATTGGGATGGGAGTGTCAGAGACAGTGTGATTGGCACAGGACAGAACGGAATTTAGGGCTGTTGTACATAGGGTCGCTATGAGTCGCAGGCGACTCGACGGCACATAACAACAACAACAACAACAACATCTCAGTTCCCTGTACCAGGGCAATCATTTCATGATTCTTGGAGTATTTGAAGGCTCTGTAGGAGCTGGTTCTCTGTAGACACACCTATCTTGGGGTTCACCTTCCTTAACAGTGGATCTTGCTTGACAATTCCCCCTCCATGGCTGTGAGTCTTTCAGGTACCACACGTGGCCTCCACAGAGAAGCACTCACCTGAGAGTTTCAGTGTTTGTATGGATAACACCTGGTCTGCTCATGAGAGAATCAGCTTCCTCCCACAGAGACTTAGGTCTTCAAGAGACACATTAAATGTTTTCCCCAAGCATCATCAGAATGCTTTCTCTCTTGAAGTTAAAAACACTTGGGTCATGCCCTTAAATTTGCCCCAGTCTTCGGATGCTGGCCTGCTCACTGTTCACAGAGGGGATCCTATTGTATATTCACAGAGGGCGCCCAATCACATGCAGACCACACCTCAAATCAGGTGAGCACCCAGCCCCTCTGACTGTTTCTGCCAGACAGACTTCCTCTGCAAAGGTCATTATTGCTGACCTCCTCATAGGGGCATAATTATTGTAATTGTGGTCAAATGATGTATCAAGAGTCACCCTAGTAATTGAGC